TCTCTGTCTCAAATCGTTTCGGTGTGCCTGGGCACACAGAGGGCTTTCAAGAGACATCAGAGATAAGGAACTGCAAACGACTCTGCGCGCACGAAATGGGCTTTAATTAGAAGCTGGGGATTGGAGTGTCTCGGAATTGTTCTAAATGATGTTCGCTGACTTTTAAGACAGCAGACATAAGCGTATCAAAAGTGGACGTACTTGGTGATTACAATGAAGTAAATGCGAAATACATTTTATCAAGACTGGAAGATTGTTATTTATAAAATAAAACAGAAGGAAACCACGGTACAGACGGGGGTTTAAATGTTACCACTCACTATTATTATAGTCAGAAATGTGGTCTGACAAAATACTCGGAAGCTAGGTGTTAACGAACGAAGACACATACAATTGGTAGGGGTGAACAACTATGCAAAGTCTAATTCCTTCGTAACTTACAAGAGGCAAGACAGTTTACTCGATCGCATTAACTGAGTTCGCTGGGTGACGCTAGGTATCCAAGGGAGACGGGGATGGTGGCCACGGCAAAAGTCCAATCGAACAAAAATTCATTTTCGTAAGACCTCTAGCAGTAAGCACAATTACGATTGCCGTGACTAATCAAAAGCGGGTGGTAGTTTCGTGAGCACTGCAAGATGGATGAAAATAGATGCGAAATTTCGCGTTCCAGGTATTTCAATGAGTAAGGGGAGAAGACCGACTCAATCCCAAAGAGCAATCTTGGGTAATTTATCGCATCCCATGTCTCAACAGGCCAGACTGCACGCACGCTCGGAAACAAGACGAAGCGCGAATTGATTGAAGCCTTGTCTACGGATGAGAACTCAAGCAACTGATGTATCGATCGGATTCCAGCGTACAGAGCCCTGCACAGTCACCTCTCTCTGAAGATGAACTACTACACGAGTTCGAGAGCTCTGAGTAATAAAGAAACTCGAAGATTGCGTATAGAGCAGAATTTAATGGAACCATTAAATTCTGCTGCATATTCAATCTTCAAATCTGCACCTGGGAAAAGATGCTTCAAATAAAGAAACTGTTCGGGTGCTCGAGCAGTCTTTCCTTTTACTCAGCCTAATGAGAGCTTGAAGAGGTAAGCCAAGCCGTTTTATTTCTTCCTGACAATTCAAAATATCCACCAATCAGGATAGTTTGCTTGGGTCTAAGGTTTGCGTTTAAACGATGACTAACAATGATGCTCGCGTGAATAGTCAGCATATTCGTGTGCGCTGTTGGACAGGGTCCCTTATGACGGAGCTGAGGAAAAAAGTAACCACGAGGAGGGAAGTGGTAGCCTGCATGCTCGTAGAGGAACTGGGCCCTGGTTTCTGGTCACGGGCACAGATAGTGTGTGGAGCCGAAAGCTCAGAATAAAACTGTCGTTCCAGAGATCGCGTCTTCCTCTTCTTTGCTTAGACAAGTGTTTCAATGGTTCTGACTGGGCATGCAAACCTCTCCGGGTGATTTTTGCATTAATATTTTAGTGCCACAGTCGAAAGCTTCCAAAAAAAGCCATCTAGCACCACAAACTTCAGCTAACAACAAAAACGGTTGTCAGGCAAGGCTAAAAAGTGAAAACTTTTTCCTGTACCGCTTAGAAACCAACCACGGGCCGGGAAACCAGTTCGAGTGTCCACTTATTATAAAACTCGAAAGCAGTGAACGGTTGAGAGAAGACAAACCATCTTTTTTTAAAACTTTACTCCATTTCACCGCCAACATTCGCTTGCTTTAAATGGGACAAAATAAACCTCCCGAGAGATGTATGGGTTCTGCAGTCAGTACTTATTTTATATTCCAGTTAATGCCCGTGCTTTCCGCTACGAGTCCGTCACTGTTCAACGAGAAAATATTGCTTTCGATTGCAAGTAGAATTTGAAGAACGGCTTTTGACAGAATTGTTAAGTTAATGCCCGCACAGGTTTCATCCTTGGCCTTGTCAAATAGCTTATACGAAAGGCAAATGCCTTAAGAATAGAGGGACCGGTTTGCATGAAATTGCGTTCAACTTTATGTATTTATTGCAGACAGGAAACATGGTGAAGTACGTGATCTTTGATTGGCCGGATTTTCGACCAACCATCTGAGGGAGACAGAACATATTTCGGTAGTCAAATCGGAAGACAGCACACAGGAAATCGATAAAATACTTCTTGTCACTTGCCGCACTCAATTAGTCCAATACGGCAAGCGAAAATCCACAGCCCATCCCAACAACTGAGGAGTTCTTCAGGGATCTATCTTAGTCCCTCACCTCTTCTCCCTCTACACTGACGACCTACGATCGTAAAATGAATGTTTCTACCTAATATACGCTGATGATGTGGTTGCTGGTCATCCTCTCAAAAGTCAGACAC